CCTTACGAAAAATACACCGAAATTTTTGGTGTTTACCATCAATGTGGGTGTCTCTTGAGGGTTTACCCTCAATTTTGGTGTCATTTCGGGTGTTACCCTTAAATAATTGAGTGTTATCTTCATTTTGAGTGTTATTTTCAGTATTACCATCGAATAATTGAGTGTTGGTTGGGTGTGACTGTCAACCTAAGTATGATTTTTGGTGTTACCCTCAAATAATTCAGTGTAACCTACATTTTTTGTGTCATTTTCGGTGTTACCTTCAAATAATTGAGTGTTGGTTGGATATGACCGTCAACCTCCCATATAACATTAAGGTCTTAAATTGTAGACATCTAAAAGATATCTTACTGAAGATTATATCTTCAAGATATTTCTAAAAGATGTCTAAAAGATGTCTAAAAGATTTTTAAAAATATATCTTCAAGATATTTCTAAAAGAAGTCTAAAAGACGTCTAAAACATTTCTAAAAATATATCTTCAAGATATTTCTAGAAGATATCTAAAATTATTATTTGAAATACGCAGAATTCTATTAATCTAATCAATCTAATGTATATGCCATTTTTATATTTCCGATCCAGAATTCGCCCTGATAGGTTAGGAAATGTGTCAAGGCTCGTCTAGACGACAAGGCGTAAGCCGCGTAAGGCGCGGCGCAAGAGCGCGAGCACAGGCGGCAAGAGGATTTTTCCCGATCATAGGATCGTGGCGCAAGCGAAATAACCCAGGTAGCAATATTATAAGTTATCGCTTTAAGGTTGCCTTTAGGATTTTACTATAAGATAACCAATGTATGTTTTAAAATTGGTATCTATTTTACTGTTGTCTTATTATTTTAGGTTATATTGAAACGTTTGCTGTACATTATCGTATGTGCTCTGGAACTGTTCAGTTATTTCGAGACACTTCTGGCAGAGGACGAGGAATGTCGGCAGTGCTTTCGACAATTTCGCAGCTTGTGCACGATTCTTTTAGTGCCGATGGAGGGTATAGGGTCGGCGACAGTGTCAAAAGTATACGAAGTATTGTCGACCGCGACACGAACGTTGCGCGGAAGTACGGATACGCGGGAGGTCTTCGATCAGCACCGCGGAGATATTCGAGCCTGTGCTCGCTTACTGGGAAAAGCGCGTGGACACCGACAAGAGCACGCTCGAGCATTTGCTCGACACTGGCGTCTTGCAGGAACTAATGAATTTGTTTGTACACATGAACAGAGATGAATTTTACTCCACGCACGTGTCGGTCAAGTGAAAGTCGTGCCTGGACAAACTCTGTACAGTTAAGAGGGACTTGTACAACGCCGTGGTGATGAAATGCAGATTCGTCAGTAGTATGTAAGTTTCCCGTTAAAACTCTGCCGGCGAAAGCGTGCGCTGTTACTAGGAAAATTATGAAGCGGAATGTCGAGTGGGTCATTCGTGAAATGAAGGAATCCGAATCTTGAAATTATCTTGCAAAAAGTACCGAGTTGACCGCGCGCGCTGTATCGTTGCCGTTCGTCGAGCCAACTGCCTCACGTTCAACGATTTCTTGCAGCCGAGGAGGTGACGAAGTCGAGCTTCCGCCGCAAGGTGTAGGACTACATGACGAAGAATGAGCTGGTCAACTTCCCCGTCAACATATACAAGCGTATACCGAACTTCAAGGGCGCCGCGGAGGTGGTGCAGTGGCTGATCGAGTTGGACATGTTTAAGAAGGCGAGAGTCATCAAGATAAATCCAGACAAGCCGCAGGAGCCGGTGAGGTTCTCGGCCCTGGAGGCCAACAAGGTAAGCGCTCGAGACAATCGTGGAACACGTGTCACAATTTAACTTACAACGTAGGCGTAAGTACTGTCTGAACATGTGTACGAGGAAAGCGTGTGTTTACTGTTTGTTCACCTTCTTGTGCAGTTGCATCTCTCGACTCGACGGAGTCGAACCGAGCCCTATACAGATTCTGAGAGCTTCAGGAATCTTGAGAATATTATCTCTTTCGTGCTGGACAGATTGAGCGTTGTATATTACAGCAATAATTTGTATAGGAAAGCTGCGACTGTGTGCGCATTGAATGCCTTGTTAACGTATAACCAGTCAAACACAAAAGCTTTTCATAGATGGGTGTACATTAAGAAAATTACGCCCAAAGAAGTCGCAAGCTTAGCTATGCTGGACTGCTTGACCAGTGATGAAGATGAGATAAAGAGCGAACTAGGACTTTCAATCGATATCTCTAAGTACGACGTTACCGCGTTGTGTCTGCGTGAAGTGAACAGTTTACTGGAGGAACAGGTCGCAGTTGCGAACGGCGTGGCAGCGGTTCTGGAAAAATTGAGGAAGCTACAGCCGAGTGATCAATATGCACACACGGTGCAGTTATTAGGGTATTATTTCTTAGATTTTAATTTTGAATATCACAGATGTACAATGTCACAGACTATACCATATGTAATGTGTAATGGCATCAATGTTCGGTTGTGAGATATGAAGGATGCACTAAAAATTATTCGATCGTTAATTATTTCATGCAGTCTCATTAATTTGAAAAACGGCTTATATATGGATGTTTCATAAATATTCTTAAAAATTAATGCTTCATGCTGATCAAAATTATTGCATTATTTAATTAAAGATTAATTCAGATCTTGTTTCAATTCTTGTTCGTCTTCGGTCAATTTATCATATAACACATGTGCGAACAAATTTAATATATCGTAAAGTGAAAAGGTAATGCAATAATTTTATTTATTATTTCTAAAATTTTCATTGCTCCGATTTTGTCTAGTTCCGTTTCTTCAATGCATTGAATTTATTTACATGGTCATTAACGATTGAATAACCTTGAATACAACTTTTATAGTGCGTCATATAACATAGCTTCATTACCAGCAGTTGTGATGACTCCTTTGGTCGTTCTTGATCGAGAGCTTCGACCAGTGGGTGTCACATTTATTTATGGGTCTCAGATTTCATTTAAAAAGCTCGATATTTTTACATATCGATCTTTTTAAATGTGTATTAGAATTTATTGACAACGTGCATTTCGATGCACCAAACTTGCGTGTATAAGCGTTTGCGCGTCGAATGACGATGTAAATCGAGATAATTTGACTAC